TCCTTGGGCGCTCGAGGCAAGAAAAAAAAATGTAAAGCAAAACAAACGACAAACGCACTCAACAATTTGTTACCAGTTATACAGTAAGGTGCACACAAAATGGGCTTTGAAAGAAAAAAAAATGTGCCCCCCAACAGGCATGTGACATCACCCAGCGCCCTGCCTCAAGGATTTTTTTTTCTATTTTTTCTTATTTAATTAAAAAAATTAATTTTTTTTTTTTACTGTTGGGGGGCTTTGGGGAAATATTGGGGGTCTAAACAGCCCCCTGATATGTCCCTTTTAAAATAGAAAAAGAAATTGAAGACTCAAAGTGCTTAATCTCTTTTTCTGCAGCCTCGGTTCTAAATGAATGGAAAGCACAGAGGCTTCCCATTCATTCAGAAACTATTTACTATCATCCAGTTTCAGAATGGGGAGAAGCCTCTGTACAGAGGGCTACTACCCATTCAGAAATTCATGAATGAACAGGAAGTGATGTAAATTACATCCTGTTCATAACTGGGGACACATAGTAGTCAGATCCTGGCCGAGCGTCTCTCTCTCCTCACTGCTCGGCCATGCTGCTGTGATAACGGCTCCATCATCCTTCACTTCTCCTCGGATCCCCGCTGCATGCAGATGGGGAGAGCAGCGGCGATCTAGAGGAGAGGCCCCACGGCAGGAGATCACGATCTACCAGTGATCGCTTTGCGATCGACTGGTAGATCGCGATCGACCTGAAGGGGCACCCCTGCACTAAGAACATGAAGAAACACAATATATTTAAAGAAATAGTAGAGTAGAAGGAAGCTTGATGGTTGGCTCAGGGGGAGTGGTAGGTTTTTTCTTGTCTTCTTTTTTTCTGTATTATTTTTATTTGATTTTTTTATTCTTTTGTTTTTGTTGTTTTGTTTTGTATGAGATTTAGAGAGGCACCCTATGTAGATTCAGAGTATAAGAAAATATTAGAAAAGGCGCTTGATTTAAGATGGGAAGGGGGGCATATGGGAGGGAGTTGGGGAGAGGAGGGAGAGAGGGAAAGAGGAGGAGATGGGGGAAGGTATAGTGCACATGGAATCACCCAAGGAACACAAATAGAAATTACACAGCTATAATGTAAAATTGACACAATAATTTAATTTAGCGGAGGGGGTGATGATAAAAGGAAAGGGGAGCAGAAGAGGGGGGGGATGGAAAATAATTAAATTGTTAAGACACATATTTACATTTTGGAAGATACAAAGGTATGGGTAAGGGAATATGATGTGAGTAGTAATACACAGATATAATGTAGAATTGTCACAATAAATAAACTAGATGAGGAAGTAATTATTGTTAAAGGGGAATGGGAGTGGAAGAGGGGGGATGGAGACAACTGGAAGAAGAAATAGGGAGATAGACAAAATATTCAAACAGCAGAATCCCCTTAACAAAGAAATCCCATTAGTGGAGCTATCCAGTGACCAAGTAACTCTATAGTATATGGTATATCACAAGATTTTTATTTTACATAGAAAATATAATGGTAAAGCACCTAATACATAACATTTAAAACATTTTTTAAAAGAAAGGCACAACTTCCCTTGAACGACCCCAGTGTAGGACAGAGCAGTCGGGGTTAATTTGTCAGCAGAGTAATAGGCAGTCACTGGTAGGAATGGATACACTGCATAAAAACAGTAGATACAAATGTATCAATATGTAACAGGATTACTCACTTCATTCATCTGTGGCCACAAAATGAAAGTCCATCTAAGATTGAACCTGAAATCAACCTGAAATCTGGATTGAGTGGAGCTGACTCGCATACATTCATTAACACTCAGGCTCCTGATTAAAGTGCTCCATTGGACACATTGTCCCAGGAACTTCATCCATCTTCGCTTCACTGTACAGCCGCACGTACAAGGGGAACCCCTGAGGCTATCCCCATATGCGAGGAAATATATGCATTTCTCTTTTTTTGGATGATACTATTCCGGATTCATAATGAGAGGAACTGTGCGATCTTTATAAAGACAATAACTGGGATTACAAATTATCACAGGAACATCTTCCATTGAGATATCACGTCCATATCCATCACAGCAATCTTAGATGGACTTTCATTTTGTGGCCACAGATGAATTAAGTGAGTAATCCCGTTACATAATTCATTCCCACAGCTACCTCATGTATCATTTCCCCCTCCTCTTTTAGATTGTAAGCCCTCAGCGGCAGGGCCCTCCTTACCATCTTGTCTTGAATTGTATTGTAACTGTAATGTCTTCCTTATGTTGTAAAACACTGCGCAAACTGTTGGTGCTATATAAATACTATGTAATAATAACCAATATGGTTTAATGAAGGACTGTTCTTGTCAGACCAATCTATTAACATTTATTAGGAAGCAAGTACTAAATTAGACAAAAGGAATACCAGTAGCCATGGTGTATCTGGACTTTGCTAAAGCATTCGGCACAGTACCACACAAACGTTTAATCCATAAACTAAGGTCTATAGGTCTAGATGAAATTGTATGTACATAGGTGGAAAATTGGCTGCAAGAACGGACCCAGAGGGTAGTGATAAATGGGCAATTCGCTAATTGGGCAAGGGTGCCCTAGGGTCCAGTCCTGGGACCAATCCTATTTATCCATGACATAGAGACTGGACTAAATAGCTCAGTTTCAGTTTTTGCAGATGATACTAAACTATGCAGAGCAGTAAATTCCGAACAAGAGACATTTCGCACTACAACAGGACCTTAGCAAAATTAAGGCATTGGCTACAAGATGACAAATGCGATTTAATGTTGAAAAATGTAAGGTTATGCACATGGCAGTAAAGAACATGTGCGCAAACTACAACTTGAGAGGTGTTACTTTGAGAGAAGTCAGACATAGATAAAGACCTGGGGGTCCTCATAGAGCCCAGTTTTGGCAATAGTAAGCAATGCCAAGCAGCCAGCAAAGCTAACAAGATACTGGCGTGTATTAAAAGACGAATTGTAGCAAGGGATCAAAGAGTAATACTTTTACTTTATAAATCATTGGTTCGGCCCCATCTTGAGTATGTGGTACAGTTCAGGTCACCGACTCCCAGGAGGGACGTCCTGGAGCTGGAGAGAGTTCAGAGAAGGGCTACAAAATTAACCAAAGAGATTGAAGGCTTGAGTTATGAAGACCGGATTTATTTACCTTAGAAAAGAGGCGATTAAGAGGGGACCTTATTGCAGTCTTCAAAATCATCAATGGAGACCACAATTTCAGGAACAAACTGTTTAATGCCAAAACTGTATTGAGAACCCAGGAACACAACATGAGGTTAGGAGAGAGGGGGTTCAATCTTAGAATTCGCAATGGGTATTTCACTGTGAGAGTAGTGAAAGTTTGGAATTCCCTCCCACAGGCAGTGGTATCAGCTGATAACATAATAAATTTAAGAAACTTCTGGATGAGTTTCTTCTTCTGCAGAATCTACAGGGATATGGGAAGTGTTAATAAATACAGACACATGCACACCCACATACATAGGTTGAAGTGGATGGACCCTGGTCTTTATTCAACCTTACATACCATACTATGTTACTATGTACCCTGGCATCCCACTGTATTTCAAAGTGTTTGCAAAGGCCAACGGAAGACGCCCCACTTTGGAAAGTGGGGTGCCCTTTCATGCAGAAGAGGCCTTGTCTGCTGGTTTGAGGGATTTGGGGGCCCAGGGCTTATACTGAAAATGGGCTCCTGGTTTAGGTTTTGCCTTAGAGGCTGAAGTTTGTGAGTAATGAAAGGGACTGTTTTTGGCCTAAGAATGGGGGTGAGGCTTACCAGTCTGAGGCCTAGGATTCTTCAGCCAGGGTGGATGTCTACTCTTACCCTCAGTAACATCCTTGATAAGGGTGCCCAAGGCATTCCTTAGAGACATTGTCCTTTGAAGGGCATGCACAGTAAATACTTTTTACAAGCCAACTCTGCAGTCCAGCATTATTTCCAAAGAGCTACCCACATATTAACAGATAGGAGACTCATACAAGAAATAAGATGGGAGACATCCACTAACCCACAGTAGTTTAGGGCTGTTGGCATGAGCTCTAATCGCTCCACAGAGGATTTGTGTGGAGTAAAGCTGGATCTCTTGTCATGAGCTTTGTCCGTTCCCCTAATATTTGGCCGAATAACATCACAATGCCAAGTTGAAAACAGGGATTCCAAACGTATCTATGGGATCCTTAACTTTAAGAACAACCTCTACTGGAATTTTCAGTGCTTTATTAAGATGAGACACCGGCTAGTCAACTCCTGGAAAAGCCCCCCTCTTAATAAAGGCCCCTTCAAATAGGCCTTCCGTCAAGTTGCAGCCTCCAAAGCTACTGTTAAGGCTCCAGAAAGCTGTATAAGAGACCAGCACAGCAGTGTGTAGATGAAGTAAAATGTAAAAAAAACTTCCTCAGTGGAGGACAGACACCCACCCTCGTAGGATACCAAAAAAAACCTGAGGTAGTAGGAGGGATTATACCAGGCTGGTCCATTTTTTATTTTGTTTGCCATTGGTCAAATCCTTGTAAAGGCAGCAGTATAACCCAATTGCATCTGAACTAGAAAGAAATTACGGATTCTGATAAAGCAATATTTCTAATTTTGTGATCCTCGGGGGGCTACAAGGAAACACCAAACATAACCCAGAAAGAGGTGAAAGGGAAGATCAGATACAATGTTGTTCAGCAGCCATTTATTAAATTGCATTAAACATTTCTTTTGCAAACATACATCACTGGAATCCATCCAAAGCTTTTGTTTGTTAAGTGGGGGATGCTTTATATTGCTATGCATTTCCCTCTGGAGAGATATTTCCCCACTTCCTATCCCAATGAATAGTGCCATGGGGACAAGTAATTAGGAACATCTACCCAATGAGGACACATAATAAAACCTGACATAGGTTTTCCCACTTCTCTAACCATAACTAAAAAAATACATTTTCAATATAGTTTTTACTTACTATTAATGCATTAAAAAATTTAGAGTAGCAAGCCATACCTTGTGCTTAAACTGTTCATGATGCAAATTTAATGCTTCATACTTTTCCTGGACTTCAGTTAATCTCTTCTCAGTGCAACAGCCAACAGATTGAGCCTAAAAATAAAGTCAAACTGTAGCTTCTATCTTAGTGATGGATATTATAAGAGCAACCAAAAATCAATATAGCTGTGCAATAAGAAAAAAAAAGTGTGAAAATATGCATAAAATCAGCATTCTAGCTAGTTGCCAATGGATGGCATAGCTGCATTGTGTCCTTCTGACTTTGCAACATTGCACTAAGAACTGACTGACTGCTGTGTAGGGCTGTGTTGTCAACGATTCTCATTATTGATTAGTTGATTGTTCGATTAGTTGTTTAATGGGCTCTGTGTCCCTTCTGTTCTTTGCTGCGCCCAGTGGAAAGGAGATACTGCTGTCAGCCGCCATGCTGTCCCCGTGTCACTGCTGTCAGCCGCCATGCTCCTCGGTGCCACCCATCAGCTGGCACGCTCCTCCATGCCACCGCTGTCAGCCACCATGCTCCCCGCCATGCTACCGCTGTGTGTGCCACTGTGTGTTCACCACCGCCCCCCGCCAGATAGGATACTTGTAGCCGGCGGTAGAAAGCCAGCAACAAATCTCCCATCCAGCAGCTGAGAGCAATAGCCAGCTTTCTCCTTCAGGTCCCTCCTCTGCTATATTGACAGCTAAAGCTATTGAAGTGGAAAGGAGACACTAGGGGTCTAATAGACCCCTAATGTCACCATAATAAGAACCTGTCACCGCCAATGTGCTATCACATATGGGGCTTTGTGAGCCCTATATGATATCAATAAAGTTACAGAAAAAAAAGTTTCAGAAAAGTTAAAAGTAAAATTAAAAATATAAAAACTAATTAAAGTCCCCTAACCCTGCGAATGCGCGCATACTAACGGAAACACGGGTCAGGTGCACCTACATATGAAGGTCAGGTATCACCGCGTGCGGCAAAGAGGGACCGATTATTCTCTGACCAATATTTATGGCCAACTCTAAACTGATGACCAAGCTTTTATATTTTTATTAAAAGTTTGGTTATTTTATTATATCGGTAGAGGTTTTTCAATGCAGATTATTTTAAATCCATGAAACTAATTAAAATGTCTAATATAATACATAAAATGATTTTTTTAAAAATAAAAAAAGGTGGGGACAAAAAATTTTCAGTTTCAGCCTGACAAATTCTGCTGCGGGATGTGCATTGCGGTGCCATTCATTTAAATGGCACCCCAAACATGCCTCCCCCTGCAATGCAATCGCCCATACTGGAATGCGCAGTTGCACAAAACTGTACATTCCAGTGTGGTGCAATTGTAAAACATGTGCTTGCCGCAGCCTCACGGACACAACACCACCACCTTTCATACAGAAATGGGAACAAGAACTTCACCGCCCGTTATCCCCCGTTCAACAATCTAAAATACTGCAAATGTGCTCCTCTGTATCGCCAGATAGTTATATGATGGAAGTGAACTATAAACTCTCAGCCAGATGGTACCTGGTTCCGCACACCTTGCACGCCATTTCTCCTACGACCTCTCCCTTATGCTGGCGATCATGTGGTGAAGTGGGCACCTTTGCCCATTAGCACAGGAGTACTGGAGAGAAAATGCACGCCTCATAACCTCCATAAGTGGCATCCCCACGCCCTTAGACCCATGGATCTGCCTCTTCCATCTTAACCTCCTCTCAAGGCACGCATACAAAAGGACCATAGTACCCTTTTAAACCTTCTCTTTTAGGTCACGATGCCCGGACTCTTTGGTGCGGGGGAGATTGTTAGGGGTCTGATCCTGGTTCCTATGTGCCTTATGTTCCTATAGTTATGTACCCTTGTTCTTGCTCTCCTTGGTTTGTGTACCCACAAGTGAAGTAAACTTTATGTTTGTAAAACTCCATTTGAGTATTTTATTTTTAATAAAAGATAGTATTTTTTTTCCATCCGATTAATGGAAAAAACAAATTGTCTAAATTAGCGATTATGAAAATAATCATTAGTCGCAGCCCTACTGCTGTGTGTGAACCTAAGAGTTTATCAGTTACCACCACAGTTGCAGCTAAAAGCTTGCAGACAGATGCAAATAGGGACTGAAGTAAAAAAAAATGAGAAGATGTAAAAATGTGGGGGCAAACCCAAAAAGCAACCACACCTGTAACGTACTGAACGCTGGTTAAAAACCATAGTAGAACATACCAGGTGCTACCACTTTTTCTATACATTAGGCACTACAATAATCAGGCAAAGAAATGTAACAACATAATGTAAACTTTTATTTATACCTTTACATCCCTTTAAGCCACAGCAGACACATAAAGACTAATAAATAAAGATTCATGGGGGAAAAAAAACTGGCCTCCTGTATTCCAAGTCTTTCCGTTATAAAAAGATTATATAATTGGGTAGTACTTGGCAACACAGAAAATGTTGCAAATGTTATTAGTAGCATTCATATAGCTATTGTAATGAAGGCGACATCTAATTATTGTGGTAAAACTGGCTCTGTAAGTCACTGACCTTCTGCAAGTCTAAAGAAAGTTGCTGGATAAAGTCTTGCAGCTCCTGCTGCCTCTGTTTCAGCTCTGTAATCTTTTTTTCTGCACCTTCCTGAGCCGTTGTCAGCTTTATCCTGCATCACAACATAGAAAATCATTATTAGTCCTGTCAGCATATATTAATATTTAAGAAATA